TGTGACGGGTCCCGTACATACTTCTTGAGCACAGATACATGGAATACACTATGAATCTTTTCTAACTCTGGAGTCAACTGAAGTCGGTATGCTACAACTCCGATCCTTTCAAGGATTTTGAATGGACCTATATAACGTGGGTTAAGCTTACCCCAACTAAGAAATCTGATGATCCCTTTCCAAGGTGAAACCCTCAGAAATACCTCATCACTGACCTCAAACTCCAGCGTCCTCCGACGTTTATTTGCATAGCTCTTTTACCGATCTTGGGCAGCCTTGAGTCTATCCTGAATAACCTTTACCTTCTCTTTAGTGATCTCGACTAGCTCGGTACCCTCAAGCTTAGCCTCGCCGACCTCATCCCAGCACAAAGGTGTCCGACATTTCCTCCCATACAATGCTTCGTATGGAGGCATGCTTATACTCGCCTGATAACTGTTGTTATAGGCGAATTCCACTAAGGCCAACTGATTGTCCCAGCTTCCCTGGAACTCCAAGGCACATGTTCTTAACATGTCCTCCAAAATCTGAATCACACGTTCAGATTGCCCATCCATTTGAGGATGAAATGATGTGCTAAATCTCAACTTCGTCCCCATTGATTCCTGGAACTTCGGCCAAAACCGTGACGTGAACCGTGGGTCTCTATCCAATACTATAGTAACCGGGACCCCATGCAATCTCACAATCTCATATGTGTACAACTTGGTCAGTCGCTCAAGCGTATAGGTAGTGTTGATAGGTAGGAAATGAGCACTCTTGGTCAGCCTATCAATAATCACCCATATCGCATCATAGTTCTTGATTGTTCGTGGCAGACCCACCACAAAAGTCCATAGTAAAATGCTCCCATTTCCATTCCGGAATGGTAAGTGGCAGTAACAACCCCGCTGGGTACTGGTGCTCTGCCTTAACCTGCTGACAGGTAAGGCAACGGCTCACATATTCTGCAATCTCTCTCTTCATCCCCGGCCACCAGTAACTTTCCTTCAAATCTGGCCAATACTGCCCAATCCGTGGTTACCTCCACACGTGCCCCAAACACCACCGCTCCTAGTTCCAGATCATGTGTGGGGTAATTTACTTCATGTTTTCTTAACTGCCGAGAAGCATAAGCAATTACCCTTCCTGATTGCATCAACACACATCCAAACCCCTGAATGCTAGCATCACTGTAGATGTCATACCTTAACCCTAACCCTTGCACGGGTAGAGCAAGTACTAGTGCCTCAGTCAACCGTTTCTTTAGCTCAAGGAACCCCTTCTCACACTTTTCATCCCACACAAACTTAGCCCCCTTCTTAGTGAGCTTCGTGAGTGGAGATGCTATCACCGAGAATTTCTCCACAAATTTGCGATAATACCCCGCTAAACTGATGAAACTCCTTATCTCCTTCACGTTCTTGTGCCTCTCCCAATTAGTGACTGCTTCAATCTTGGAGTTATCGACTGAGACGCCCGAACCCGATATCACATGCCCGAGAAAACCGATCTCCTCAAGCCAAAATTCACATTTGGAGAATTTGGCAAAGAGTTGCTTGTCTCGTAGTGTCTCAAGTACTAACCTTAGGTGTTTCTCATGTTCTTCTTCGTCCTTGGAATATACCAAGATGTCATCAATGAATACTATAACGAATTGATCCAAGTATTGATGAAATATCCGGTTCATGAGGTCCATGAATGCCGCAGGGGCATTGGTGAGTCCAAATGACATCACTAGAAATTCATAGTGACCATACCTTATACGAAATGCATTCTTGGGTATGTCACTATCCTTGATCTTCAATTGATGGTAACCCGACCTCAAGTCAATCTTAGAGAACACAGTCGCCCCCCGTAGTTGATCAAATAAGTCACCAATCCTTGGCATGGGTTTGGTATGAGAGAATAGCAAGGGACGGATGGGAGAAAGAAAGAGAGGGTTTGGGATGAGAGATGTTTGGAGGGGTAAAAATGAAAAAAATGGGAAGACTTTTATATGGGGTACAAATTGGGGTAGGATTGGGGTACCTATAGCATTTTTGAATTTCAATTCCCTCCAAACTAAGAAGAGACATTTTTTGAGGCATTTCGCGCCAAAAATTCAAATTATTTTACATATATGTCCTTATTTCCTTAAACCTTTAACATTTTTTGGGATGTCCCCAAAACTTTATCACTTTTTCTTTTTAATCAACTAAATTGTGGTTTCTATTATTTGCCTATCTTTTACACAAACCTCAACTACACAATTTTTACTCTATTATTCTCTGTGACAGTCAAACTTTACAAAATTTTAAGGGACAGAGGGAGTATCTCTCATTAGCTCTGCACAACTATATATGATTTACTCTCAAATTTAGAACCCATTTGGGCAATCCATATTTTGAACTTAACAGTCTTATCAACCATTTTTTATCACACACACAAATTTTGATTTCGCGTGCAAAATTGTGTGATAGTCAAAATAAGTAAGATTAAAGGTACTTTTCTCCCTAATTTGGTTGAAATTACTGTGGAAGATTGTTTCAGTAAAATTTACTCCATGATAAGTTTATTTTCTTAATATGTGTGTAGGTCAAACTGTGAAGTTCATTGTCGGACGGAGGGAGTATTATCCCCCGTTCTATAAAAGTTGCAACAGTTTGACTTTCATGTTTGCCAACACACAACTTTGATTGTAATTATATTAAATTATGTATTAGTAAATATTAAAAACCTAATATTTTGAAAATTTACATTAATATAAATTTTATACTACCTCCGTCCCGAAAAGGTTCGTCATATCGACTTTTCTTGGTCAATGATGACAAACTTTGGACAATGATTTTAATTATTATATTTGTATATAAGTTATAAAGTTTATACTTTTATGAAAGTATTTTGAATAAGGAACACTTTGATATAATTTTCATATTCAAAATAATTTTGTACTAAAAAATATCATTAGTCAAAGTTGATTGTCATTGAACAAGAAAAGTCAATTTGGCGAACTTTTTACGGACGGAGGGAGTAAATTTTTTATACATAATAGTTTGATTATATATATCATTAGAAAATCGTATTCAAAGTAAGATGTGTAAATAGTGTGAAAATCTCAATGTGGCAACTTTTAAAGAACGAAGGGAGTATTTAACATACAATGTTTTTGCAATTCAGTAGATTCAGGCAATTCCAATGTTACCAAACATGATTTTAAAATGGAAAGTGACAGTCACTTTTCTTCAGATATTCTTATACTTCATGATGCTGCCACTTTTGGCTTTTCTACTTCTTTTGCTCCTTTGATCAACAAAGAACCTGCATAAGATGACACACAAGTGGTACTTGCACTTCTACTTGGTGAAGAGAGCACAGAGGCATAAGTGACTCAAAAAACACTCATAATACTCATAAACAACATGACTATCCAAAGTTGTCGACATGAAAAAGAAGCAGAATAATAGAGATATTGTTACGCCAAGCAAGAGATCGAAAACTTCATAGAGACATGTAACAAATGAGTTCGACACATCAAGAAGAAGTGTACACACATTGTGAGTGACCAAAAACACAAATGCAGTGTGGGGACAGTCATAGATGTGCAAAGCAAATTTGTAGGACCAGAGAGAGTTCCATTTGACTTGCACAAAATGTCATAAAAATCTTATCACCAGATGAAAAATATGAGGCCATTGACATATGCTATTGAAGTGTCAAAGTGAATTGTGCATATGTGGTTCAAGACAAAGCAAATTAAAAGGCATTCTAATGTCATAAAGTCTTTTTTACAGAAAAAGAGGGAGCAAAAAGGTTGGAGTTTGGCCTAACCTAGCAAGGACAAGTTGAAAAGACAAGGTTTGTTATCCAAAAATATCAAAATTAGTAAAGAAGTGTATAACACAGTCAAAACACAAATGGATGTACACATAACAAACAGATTGAGGACAAACAATGTAGCGAAAGGAATGGTGTTCATAGATGAAGATCCTTATCTCGGAATTGTCTAACTTAAATACGTAGTTTAATTGTTTGCTACTCCCTCCGTCCCTAAATAAAAACATCTGTTTCCTTTTCGGGCTGTCCCTAAATAAAAGTTCCCTTTCCTTTTTTGGCAAACAAAACAGTGCAAAACAGTGCAAAACAGTGCCAAACAGTGCCAAACAGTGTCCAAACAGTGCCAAACAGTACCAACCAAACCCACTTTCTTAAGATGTGTGTAAAATGAATGGATACTTTGGACGGAGGTAGTATATTTGTACGTACACAATGTGTATAACACTTTTTCCTTATCATTAGGTGTACATTTTTTTTTTGTGATGAAAGTACAATTTTTGTATGTACTTGGTAATGCAAGTGTACATTAACTATTATAAGAACATGATATGGAAAATGAATGCAACTCATATAAGGTTTTGCATTTCCACACAATATTTCAAAAGCAAAAATTCTTGGTGTACACGTTCTTATACACACCAATATACCTTTGTATCTGTGAGAGTTTTTTTTGTCTGTGAATCACAGTTTACAGACAAAACCAGCTTGTTTTGTCTGTGGAAAATTATACAACAAAACAAACCAATTTTTGTCTGTATATTGAGTTTCACAGACAAAAAAAAAACTCTCATAGACACGGAGGTGTACTGATGTGTATAAGAACGTGTATAAAATGATTTTTTTTTTGATAATCCAGGTGTCGGTGCTTACGTTCCCATAATCATGGAGTCTATGAACTACCCTTCAAAGCCCCTAGATAGTTAAATCCGGATATGATCGCAGTCAGCCTCGTCAGTACTGGCTCCAAAGGACGAATCCAGCAGGACTTACATCACCTTTCAGGCTGCTCCTCCCACCACACGAATCCGCTACCTTCATTACCATCCTCTCTCTTGGAGCAAGACCTCTCTCATCTCTTTTGGTGGGAATTGAACCCAAAATCTCACACAAAAGAGAGACTTGGGGGTGGACGGTCGACTACACCCACCTTCCCAAAAGATCGTTTCAAAAGAATTTTTGAAAGATAAAATGAACTTTTGTTTCAAAAGATCGTTTCCCCAAAGAAGATCTTGCACACTGCAAACAACTGAACAAGTCAAGTCATTAGAAGTTGAATCAACAAATTTGTGAAGAAGACATTTTTAAATTAAAAAGAACAGGCCAATCACATACGGATGGATACAAGAGATTAGCAGATGAAAAATTTAATTAATGTGGCAGTAAATGATGGGAATGCGAAGCTGACATAGCCAATGGCATCTGTACGTTCTGCTGTGCCCACTGGGAATTGCCCACCCGCACCCACCCCCACGCCATCTCTCTCATATTCACTGCTTTGCCAGATCACGTGTTTAACACCCTCCTCCAATACCTAATCTTCCTTCTTCCCATCCACTCTGCTTCACTTTCTTGCTTGCCTGCAATCATCGTGTTTGTTTCCTGGGTTTGTGTTTTCTCTGCTCTGAACATTTATTTTTGTTGACTCTAGCAAAGGGTAAATTATCAACTCATAATGGTCACCTACTTAGGAGCTGTTCTGTTTTTATTGCTTATTATTGCTTATTTCTTATTCTTATTTACATAATCTCAAAGAAATCTTTGTCTGATTTTATTGAGATTTCCACAAATTCTATTTCTGTAGTATGCTTCTCATAACTTCTTGGACCCGATACACAGAGGGTATTTTTCAACTTTTTCGCTTGAATGAGTGTTTTCTTTTTTTATTCTTTCTGATTTTCAAGAAACATTTCTTTCTGGGTAACTGGGTTGGATTGTTGTTCTGAAATTCGCTCAAGAGAATTTACCGTTATAAGACTCTTGCGTGTGAATCTCGCTAAAGTGTTGAGTTTTTATTTGTGATGAATATCATGTTGAACTAAATTTCCATTCTGTAAGAATCACCACATGCTCCACAGACTTCTTCTTTATGATTCTTTAGGCTGAAGAAAAACTTCCACCTCTATTTTTTTTTTTAATCCCTTAAAATATTTTAAGTGAAATGATTAATTTTTTCACTTAAAATTTCATTATTCATTACAAGCTCCATATAGAAGCTCAAGAATGTTACGTAGTATATTTTTTTTTTTTGAAGTGCTACATCTTCTTCCTACTGTATAGGAAAAATGCCAGAAGGAATAACGGCTGAGAAACTGTTAAACAACATCATGGAAACAATTTCAGACAGTGTACAAAAGCCAAGATCTGGTGCATTCTTTGAAGAGGACAAAGCAAGAGCTGTCAGTGATAAATTGAATAGGCTGTTTGGGCGCCAGAAGCCTGTACACCATGTTCTTGGGGGAGGCAAATGTGGGTTATGCATACTTCTGTTAGTATAAATTTTAATATGTATCCTATTATTATAATTATCATCAATTCCAGTGCATAAATTTGCTGATTCTGAAACTTCTTCACTCAGCGGCTGATGTGCTACTATGGAGGAACAAGAAAATCTCAGCCAGTGTTTTGGCTTCTGCCACAATTATGTGGATGCTGTTTGAATGGCTTGACTATCACCTCCTTACATTTGTTTGCTTTGCTTTGATTCTAGGAATGTTTATACAGTTTCTCTGGACTCACACTTCAGGCCTTGTGACCAGGTTAGCCTATATGCTCAACCCGAAGATCTAAGGGGCTGTTTGGCTCAAATAGCTGAATAGCATATAGTTAGGAGCTCAAAGTCTAAAGCTAATTGTTTTTTCAAGTGTTATTTTTGTTATTAGTTGAAACAAATGAAAAGCTAGAAGATTGTCACATTTGACTTTTGTGGCCAAATATGTGACTTTTCCAATAATATAGTCTTATACAAAAGGATTTGTAGAGTGAAAGCAAATAAGTAATATCAAATTGTTCTTTGTTACTAAACTCTCATAAAAGTATTAAATGTATTGATTGGTGGAAGTTCAGCACCTTTGACCAAAAAGTCAAGTGTCATATACTCATATCTTTGTGGAAAGACTTATGAGGCAAATTAGCAAGACAGGGCTTATTATGTTAAGTACTTATTCTGCCAATTAGTGGCTACGAAGCATAATGAATATATCATTTGGAGCTTAAAGTAAGTTAAAAGCTCTACCAAACACTGTATTGGCTCTTATAGCAGTGCTAAGCATACAATTGCTACAGGTCTCCATCACAAGTTCCGCGTATTGTTTTGCCAGAAGAAGTGTTTGTCGGCATAGCAAAGACCGTAGGGGCTGAAGTCAACCGTGGTTTGGGCTTCCTTCAAAACGTCGCCTGCGGTGGAACTCCCAAGCACTTCCTAGTTGTATGTTTGGAACTATAACTATGTCCTCTTCTTTCACTTTCTTGCTTTTCACAGTGAAAAACTGTGTATTAATGTAAAAAGTGATGCCTATTTATTCCCTTATGTATGATTCTTCAGTTTTCTTTTATTTTCTTATATAATTCTCTAGGCTGTGACAAGCTTGCTGGCAGCTGCTATCATTGGAAGCTGGTGCAACTTTCTGACTGTTGTGTACATTGGTAAGACTAGTATTATTTTTGTTCCTCTAATATTTTTCCCTCCAAGAAGATAGTCCTGTCCTGATCAAACTGACAAGGGCTTATAAATTAGTTGATTGATGTATAATAAATTATACAAATTCATAGGCTCTACCAATCCCAAAACGGCTTCCTTCTAATATTTGAAAGCTTCCTTCTAAAAGTCTAAAACGGCTCATGTTTGGCTTTTGATTTTATAAACTACTCCATCAGTCTTAGAATATAAATCCCTCTTTGGGCGAATACTCGCAAACAAAGAAATGGTCGAATTTTCAAACATCCCTTTAAAAAGTTGGGAATCCATTTGAGAAATTGTGCAAATAGGTTAATGTATCAAATCATTGATGGATATGTATGTTAAGGAAAAAGTCGTATTCCCGTGAAAATGAAATGAAATCAAAATGAGAATAAATATTTGTCTTTGAATCACTTAGAGATATGTGAATTAATGAATTTTTAATTAAAAGATATGGTGCCAAAATATTACGTAATATGTAAAATGTTTATAATACAGAATGGATCGTTTATATATACAAGTGCACTCACCAACATCATTCAAGCCTTAGTCCCAAAAGTGTTTGGGGTCTTCATATATTATGCACATTTTATTTTGTACTAAGATGCACTTCTGACTCACATGTACATTTTTTTGTATATTTTGATACATATTTGGTACAGAATTTTCATCTAAAGTTCTTAGAATTTGATCTCTTTCATCCATTAATTCATATCAATGGTCAATATTACTCCGTCAGTCCCAAATTGTAAGATACATTTGCTATTCACTTGATCAACATAAATCATTCTTAATCTTTTACTTTATATATCAAAAGTTTATGAAATTTGAATTATTTTTTGTAGGTTTTGTAGCGATTTTAATATAGTTTTTGAATATGTAAATTTTATTTTCTAAAACTAATTTGAGTGTTGACAGGAATCAATTTGCTTTATTGTCGGTCAAACATCGTAAATCGTAAAATATCTTACAAATTGGGACGGAGGGAGTACTTCTTTTGTTTCATCTAAAAGTACTTTTTAATATGAGTCATAGTCCGTGTGTGTATATATATATGATATCAGTCCTTAACTATTAGGTCTTCCTTGATCATTCTCTCTCACACACACGTATATTAATATGGGAAATTACCCAAAATAGGAGCAAATGACATTTGAAATTCTCCTTAACTATTTTGTTTCATCTAAAAGTACTTTTTAATGAGTCATAGTCCGTGTGTGTATATATATGATATCAGTCCTTAACTATTAGGTCTTCCTTGATCATTCTCTCTCACACACACGTATATTAATATGGGAAATTACCCAAAATAGGAGCAAATGACATTTGGAATTCCAAAAATAGGACTAGTTTTTCTTCCCGAAATAGGAGTTATTACTGTCATGTATGAAAAATACTGCCATGATTGAAAAATACTGTCATTAATTATAATAAATACTGTCATGTTAAATGCAATGTACTGCAACTATTTGGCAGTCACGGCTAAGAGATGACAGTAAATACTGTCATGTTAGTCCCATTTCGGGAATAAAAACAAAGTACTCATATTTTGGAATTTCAAACTTCATTTACTCCTATTTTGGAAAATCTCCCATATTAATATACATTATTTCTTCTTTTACACGCACGGGTAGCTTAGTTGGTTCAATGATTAGGAAATTTGGAACAATGACCAAGGTTCGAAACCCGCAGCGGCCGTGTGGAAGTTACAGCTCCTGCGTGCTAGGCTGGACCTCTGGTGCGCACCTGGTAAAAAGGCCTACCATGGACCGACTGAATCACCGTGACTTACATCCTCCCAAAAATCCTGTCCGATCGGGGTGTGGGGGTTCTGTGTGGGAGATTCCACCTTTTGGAACAATATATATACATATTGGACGTGTTTGCGCACTCTTATATTGAAAATTGGCATAGGTTTTGTTGGGGCCCACACACTGCCAGTGCTCTATGAAAGATATGAAGATGAAGTGGACAACTTTGTAAATAGTGTGTTTGAGCAGCTGCACCACCAATACCGGAAGCTTGATTCTGGAGTACTTAGCAGAATACCCAAAGCCAAACTCAAATTGAAGAAGCACGAATGAAGAACCCTAAAGAAACGCTACGCTTTGTTTGGGTTTTTCTCATTCACAATGTCCAAACTATGATTTAGTCACTAATTCCGTGCCTGTGAGATATAAGGTATTGTCTCGTGGTTTCAATTTTCAATTCATCGTGTGATGGGGCAAGATTCTCATAAACTTTAGGCTATATCGTATCAACTTTCAATTTAGAGCCTCTTTCGTCACATCAAAATGGGTTGAAGTATTGGTTGAATTGGTTGATTTTACTCATTTATAAAAAAAATTAGAAACAGTGACATTGATATTACTTCCCAACTTTTAATGGACAAAAATGTGACCCTTTTAAGAATGGACCGAAAAGTAGGGGTGGTCGTGGTCCGGATTCTCCGGAACGGTCCGGTAAATTGGTAAAACCTGTAATGTATCCGTGAGGTTTTTAATGGTCCGGTACGGTGCGGTTCCAATGATAGAACCGTTCGGTACCATGTCGTTTCAGAACGGTACAAAATGGTACGGTACAATGTCAAACACATGTTAAAAAAATTGAACAAATCTTGCAATTAGTAGATATCATCACACCAATGAACTCACATGAAATGTTGAAATAAGTACAAGAAATTGCATACGTAGTTATAAAATTCACAAATACACAAATAGTGCAACACAAATAAGAAAAAAGAATACCAAAACGATGACGCACGAGATAAATATCATTTTTAATTTACTAAGTTCATGTGAAAATATAAAAACGAATATCATCTAATTCTTGAATATAATACAAATCTTCAATGTTCTTCTTCTTCGTTCTAAGTTAAATACTTCCTCCGTCTCTTAAAACTTTGCGATCTTTCCTTTTTGGGACGTCCCAAAAAACCTTGCCACTTTCCCTTTTAATCAATTATTTTGTGGTTTCTGTTATTTCTCTCTCCTCTGCACAAACCTCAACCATACAGTTTTTACTTTATTATTCTCTGTGCTGATCAACTTTGGCAAAATTTTAAGGGACAGAGGTAGTATTAATCTGTAGTTCTAACTTAATTTATAGTTGAACCTTGAGAGCTAAGATTTAAGCCATATTAATTAAGTTGTAAAAACTGCACAAACATGATATAACAAAAAGTCATGTACACTACATTACTAGAAATAAATAATCATTAATGATTTCTAAAATTTTAATATTCTTTCAATACATATCAAAATATAACATAAATTATCTAAAAAAAAATAACAATATACATATAAACAACACATTTAGATATCATAGAGACACATGAATACATACTTGGGTTATATAATTGTTGGTCTATAAAAGAGATATTTTGATATAGAAAAAATATAAAAATTCAAATGCATTATTTTCGAACGGTTCAGTCCGGTTTTTTTCGGTTCTCAAAATCTAGGACCGGTCCCGTTTCAAACGGTACGGTTTCGGTACGGGATAAAAATCTATAGAACCGTTTAAATACCCGGTATTCGGTTCGGTATCATTACGGGATAGTTTGGTACCGATTCGATTCTGGGTTTATGCTCACCCCTACCGAAAAGTCATCAGCGTGCTTCTCTCCTGTCCAAACTCCAAATAGCTCCAAGTCTCCAACCAAGCACCCCTTCTCTCTGCCGCTTTGCAGCACCGACCAACTCCATCATTGCAGAGTGGGAGAAAATAATGGAGAAAGTGAATTATTCATTTACTTATTCATTCTTTTTCCATTACCTTTACAAATAAATAATAATTATCTTAAAAGTGATACATATAAAATTTAAAAACGTGATATGGAAGAAGTGGAAATAAGGACTTAATTTTTTAAAAAAATACATAATGATTTTTTTCATTATTAAAATCATCAATTTATAATAGATAAAATGCATATAGGACAACATGACCCATCCAATTAATCTCACAAATAATTAGCCAAGGATGTTTTTACTTGGATTATTTTCCGTCTCAGATCAAACAGACTTAAACAGATCAGAGCTGACCAGATTAGACTTAAACAGATCAAACTAGATCAGATCAGACTCATAGTTATAAAATACACGGAGACCAGACATTTACCAAATTAGACCAAACCAGTTTAGACCTGACCAGACTTAAGAGGGAATATAGAACCCTTTTCCCACATATAGTATTATTCTTTGTATAAAGGTATCAATTTCAAGTCTATGTATAAAGCTAACAATTCCCAATTTTATTATACTTTGTGATAACTATTAACAAAAATCAGAGGCAAACAATAACATGTATTGGATTTTATGTGGAAAAAAGAAATTCACACATGAACAACTTTATGTTGCCATTTCAAAAGTCACAAGCATAAATGAGTTGAAAATTTTGTTGGGTGGAGCCGTGGAGGAGAATAGTAGTGCAATATAATAACAAATGTTGTGTATAAACAACGATAAACTTCCAAAATATGTAATTTTCTTTTAAAGCACAACAACGATACTCAACAGTAGGGATGGACTGGGCCGGGCCGAACCGGCCCGGAACCGAACCGGTCCGGTACTGTTTGGGACCGGACCGGACCGGGACCGGTTGGCCGGTTCCGGGCTTTTAGCCCGGTTGGGCGGGTCGGCCGGGCTCGGGCACAGTTTTGGGCGAACCGGCCCGGGTGGTTCAGGTCGGGCCCGGGTCTTTTTTTTGTTTGTTTTTTCATATTTTTTTCTTTTCCTAGGCTAGGGCTGGATGTTTTGGGGAGGTTTGGTGGGTGGGGGTGAGGGGGGGGGTCGGGGGATAACAAGAAAGCAAAAAAAAATAAATAGACATCGAATCGGGCCCAGCCCGGACCCGGTATCAACCCGGGCCGGTTCCGGGCCCATGAATTTGCAAAAAAAGCCCGCCCGGGCCCGGCCCGGAACCGGAACCGGACCGACCCGGGTCCATCCCTACTCAACACACACTATGAAACCTTTTCAACTAATTTGCTTAAAACCCGATAATAAAATAATAATTAGTCTAAACCCAAAATAATAATTATAAATCATATACACATCAATTTCGGAAAATCCTCTATCACATTTCTCAACAAAGTTTTAGTAAATATATTATTTTCAACAAAAATTGTTACTGACAAATTGTGTAAAGAATTCACAACCTCTGTAAATATTTAACATTTGAATTCAAATTAACATGACACCATTGCGGGCATGCCTAAAGTGTTACACTAGTATATATGATTCAAAAGTTGCACTACGTAATAATTATGTGTAATACTTAGGGCATCTCCAATATGGAGATGAATTGCTATTCCACATAAGTCAATCGACTCTTTGTGTGCCAATGTAGTTTCCAATGTAAAAAAAATATAGACCTAGTCATGTTGAGTTGGCAATTAAAAAAGAGAGACAAGGTCTAGTATGAGGTCCATATATGGACACTCGTGTCACCTTGGATGGGAGCACTCACAACAATAATTTTTACATTTCTTTTGCATTGGTGCACAACCGGAAAGAACTTTATCACTTTTAAAAAAAGTAGCCCACACATCAAATAGACTTTCCATTATGTTGTAACATCATCTCCAATGCATCATAGCATTGAAGATGCTCTTAGTAATTTAAACTCCTCGATAAACTATATTTTGATCCTCAATCCAGATTACAAGCATGTGTATTCGTACCTGATGGATAGTGTATCCAGGGGTAGCTTATCCGAAGGATTATTTCGGGGAATAACCTAGAGAGAGGTCAAAGCAAGTAAGAGAGAGAGAGTCAAATGTATTTAATGAACTCAGCGTGCTTTACAAGGTGAATAAGGGCTGCTATTTATAGCAGCCATAAATGCGATGAGAGTACACGTGTCAATAATCTAACGGCTGAGGGGTCACCTCAATCGGGGTGACACCGGCATTCGCATGTGCACCGTAATTAATGCAGTGGGTGGATGTGACACCACATTAAATGCGGTGGTTCTCTGTCCCCAAAGGGAATCTTCGATGAGTGCGGTGTAGCCGAAGGCTCTCCTGTGGCCGAAGGCTCTATGCAGCTGAAGGCTCCTGATTTCTGTCGTTTTCTCCCAGTAACTTCGTACACCTGAAATCAGCTGTTTCCTGGGGTTTGGAGCCTCCGGCTATGGTGCCGAAGGCATCCCCAAGCGCATCGTGGGTTCCTTTGACCTTGGGCTGCGGTGTTTTGGGCCTCATGCGCTTCTTGGGCCTGTTGGGCCTGTGTTGGAGTAGTAGGACTCTGTGGTCCGGGGGTCCCTAGGCCATATACTCCATCAGGAGTCCCTCACTCCTTTTGCTGAAAGGTACTTGAGGGAAAAGGAGTAATTGCGGTTGTTCTGCCGAGGGCGTCCTTGCTGCGAGAGTTTCCTTCCATTGGTTATTTGCAGTCTTGTGCTGCCGAGGGGAACTGCCAGTCCCCCATTTCTAGAGACTTTTGTTGATGCCTTGAGAAAACTTTTAACTTTTTGTGATTTTGCCTGATTTAACTTTTTGTTATTTTGCCCGTAGGGGTTCCCCAGTCCCCCACTTCTTGAGGCACATGTATTGGGGTGAAAAGGAGTAGAGTGACGCCTATCTTCATCAGAGAGCCGAGGGCTGACGTCCTTTGCTTCATTTTAGGGAGATGCCTCGTTAAATACCTCATTAGGAAAAACCCTGCGGGAAAAAAATCCTAATGAGGGAAAAAGAGTGCACCGTATGCCCTGAAATGAAGCAAGAGGGGTTGACCCTTAGGCCTGTGACGAAGGATAATGCTGAGGCCGGGGGCATTCGTGATCCGCGGTAAGCAACCCTGGTGGGCCGAGGGCCACTTGTGAGCTGAGGGCGTGACCGTTGCTGAACGGTGTAAGTTAGTATTCTGGTAATGAGCTGAGTCCCCCATTCTTTCATATATCGAGGGCTTGGTCTCCCGAGGGGTTCCCTGATCTTCCTGCTGGGGGCTAACCCTTGGTGAAGGGGTTAGAACATGTTGTCCCGAGGGCTTGCTTGTTGTTTGCCTGAAGGGTGTCTGCTGAGGGCACATCTGTGTTTCGAAAATAGCCGTATGGATATGACCGTTGGAATGTGACCGTTGGAGGTGGGGTCCACGTGGCATATCCTGGTTGGTCGGATTTGGGCGGGCGTCACCGGTTGGCTGAGGCGGCGGTTTGTAATGATGTGTTTTTAACCGGGCGCCCAGTTCTCGGCCCAAGCCCGAAATGGGGAGGCTATAAATACCCCTGACCTGGTTCACATTCCTTTGTGCGAATTCATTGTAGTGAAGCTCTGGCCAAATTTTTCTAGAGAGAGAAAGTGCTTGTTCGATCACACCCTCATTTTCAAGGTCAGTTCATCCTCCGTTCTTGATACTTCTTGTATACTTTGCTTAGTCAACCTTAGATTTAGTGTGAGTGGCCTTAGGCCCCTTCTTCCTTTTCCCAGTTCGATCTTTCTATATTCCCGAAGGATGTCGTCTCCCAGTGACCCACAAAACATCTCTGAGCAGCCTTCGGTTGAGCAAGAGACTTGGACTGGCGAAGGGGCGCAAAGTTCTGAGGCCTCTCCCAACAATGATTCCGCTATTTCACGGGAGGTGCAAAAGGACCTTGTAGCCGAGGCCGAGGCTGAAGATTTTGAGCAAGTGGCAATCAAGGACCCGACCCTTCTGGAGGATCTGTACAACCTGGGCTTCCAGTGCTACCGTTTCCTGGGGGAAAGGGATGAAAAGTACCCCCTCATTGATCGCACCTTCGAGAACACAGGAGGTGGTTCCCGGAGGCTCTAGCCTGTTGTACTTACAAAATTTTTGTAGTTTAATTCTTGATGTTGTCTTGACCCTTCGTCTTTACTGATCTGCGTTGTCTTGCAGGTGCCAATATGGATGTGAGAAACTTCGCTGGTTTCAAGAAGAAGTTGGCCAAAGAGTCAAACAAGAAGGAGACGGGAACTCAGAAACCCGTCGATGAGTTCTTGCCGAGGGAAGCTGAGCCCTCATCGGCTGTCCCTGCTGATGCCGAGGCCGGAGGCATCCAAGCTGCTGCCGCTGCTACAAAGAGGAAGGCGATGGGCAAAGGTGTTGTGCCCGTCGGCAAGAAGCCGAAGAAAGGGGATGCTGGGAAGAAAGCTCCCCTGGTCCTGATTGTGGATGAGCACTCCTCCTCCGAGCCTCCTGTTGGGGTGATGACGGTTCCTTCCAACCCCCCTCCGGCTCAGTTGGATGAGGGGGGCTTCCCTCGGGAGAATGTGCAATTCTCCCTCGTAAAGGGAACTACTATCATGCATGGCACTGTGGACCCCATGGAGTTCCTGAGGGGTGCCACCCCTGAGCTGGACAGGGCAGCCCTGAGCCGACTTGATGATGAGACCCTCGACTCTAAGATTCTCCGGTCTTCTCTTACTGTAAGATCCCCCGTTTATGCTTTTCATTTCCTTAGTCGTTTTGGCCTTAGCTTATCTTGCACAGTGGCCTAACCCTTTCACTTGTTGCTTACAGGCTTGCATTGCCCTCGGCAAGCAGGTTCAAAGGGTGGAAGAGTCGCGCCTTCAGAAGGCGCAACAGGACGAGACTTTGACGAAGCTCGTCCATGACAATGCTGCCGCCGTTCGGGAGATGGCGAGGCTGGAGGAGACCCTTCGGCAAGAAAGGGTTGAAGCTAAAAAGGCCGATGCGGGCATCGGGGGCAGCCTTCTGGATGTGCTGACGGAGGTCAGTAGCGGCCTGCTCCATTTCGACAATAGTGTCGCCCTCGGGAATCCGGTAGGAGGCCTCAGCCCCGTTGGTTTCGCCGATGGCTACGTGGTTGTCCTCCATGGTCTTGGATTAACCACGAGTTCTTCCCGTTTTGGTAGGTGTTTTGTGTCTGGTGAAGGGGAGGGTTTCTTACTCGATTGTTCGGACCTCTCAACGAGAGCACCAAATGTTGGATAGTGTACCCGGGGGTAGCTTATCTGAAGGGTTATTTCAGGGAATAACCTAGAGAGAGGTCAGAGCAAGTAAGAGAGAGAGAGAGAGAGAGTCAAATGTATTCAATGAACTCAGCGTGCTTTACAAGGTGAATAAGGGCTGCAGTGTTTTGGGCCTCATGCACTTCTTGGGCCTGTTGGGCCTGTGTTGGAGTAGTAGGATCATGTGGACCGGGGGTCCCTGGGCCATATACTCCATCAGTACCCTTTATCAACTAGCGAGTTGTCTTCGTAGTATTATACGTAGTATATGCATGATGAATTAACTTCAATTCTTTTTTATTTTGTTATGATGCAGTCAGGGGCTGTTTACTTTTGACTTAATGGTCAGAATGATAACCGTGACTTATTCGGACAGCTATATATTCGTGTTTACTTAGAACTTAATTTAAAAGATGACGTATTCCCTCAAACGATTTTGACTCATTGATTCCGGTCAAATTCAACGATCCTTACCATTCAGACATAGGTATGTATCCCAATAGTTTTTTAACCCTCGTTCCCTTCCTCGCTAACATGTTCTACGCCTATTCTTCGCTAACCTCGTGACCCGCACAAACAATGCCTAAACCTGCACTCCTGCTCCGACCTGCGCTCCTACGCCGACCTCCGCACGCTCCTGCGCCTAGCGACCTCCTCTCACTTGCCTACCGCCGCTCATGCGCCTAGCTACCGCCTCTCCTCCGCCTACTGCTGCTCATACGCCTACCTTTACTCCTTCGCTGCTATTTCACCTTCCCCGTTCTCCTAACGTTTTCAGGTAAAACGTTTTTAAAATATAATATACTTTGTCTTCGATTTATGATATACTTTGGCTTTGATTTGAGATAGATCTTGAATATTTTTGAATACCGGAGTTCAGAGTAATAGAATTATTAGAGGCTTAGTATTGTACTTTACATTAAACTCTCTTTAATATAAATATATCTGCCAGGGCTCCTCAGGGAGTAACCTTTCTCATTATTCTCACATGGTATCAAGAGCTAGTTAATTTTTTTTTTCTCTCTCTACCCGATGAGGCGCCGCGCAAACCCTAGCGCCGCCGCCCATCACTGCCGTGAAACCCTAGCGCCGCCGCTCTCCCTGCCGCGAAACTCTAGCGCCGCCGCAAGGGATATGACGACGGCAACTTCTGCAGCAATCAACACCGGTCCATCCTCGGCCCAGAATCTCTCCCCTGTCGTGGCCACCATGCCGCCATCAACCGGTGTCCCCCCTACCTCCTTCTCTACCGGTGTGACATTCTCCTCCAATTATGCATCACCAAGCCGGACCTCTTTGCCATATTCGTTGTTTCCGAATATTCCACAGATGTTTCCATGGTCGGCTCCGGTCCCTGTGCAGCCCATTCCTCTGGAACCGCCACCCTTCTCGGCTGGATCATCGTTTGCCGGTCCAACTTTTGTCGGCTCACCTGGTGTCTCCTCTGTCATCCCTCCCTCTCGCACACCAGCAGCCAGCCCGACTGGTTCACTCCTCACAGATCTCGCCCAAAGTATCTTTCATGTGGCAACTAATGTCACAAATATTGTGACTACCAAATTATTAGCGGTGGAAGACTACACTACCTGGCGCAAACAGTTCGAATCTTTTTTGGTGTCCCAAGCTCTCCTTGGCATGGTTGATGGCTCCATTCAGGTACCACCTGCTTATTCCATAGATGCTCTTAACCGTCAAACTCCCAATCCCGAATTTTCTACTTGGTTAAGAATTGATCAAACAATCCGTTCATGGTTATTTGCAACCCTATCTAGGGATGTTCTTATCGATGTACGTGATTTAAAACATTCATATGAAATTTGGGAGCGGTTGGAGTCTCGGTTTATGTCTGCCAATTTAGCGAGATCTATGGAATTAAAACGTTTATTTAATCAAATTAAAAAGAAACATGATCAGTCCATGGATAATTATTTGCGAGAAATTAAAACATTAGCTGATGATCTTGCCACAATCAATTGCCCTGTGCCTCAGCGTGAAATTTTAAAAACTACTATTATGGGACTAGGACCTGAGTATGAATCTTTATTCACTGCTATGTCCTTATTTGGACAAAATTTCCCGTTTGAGACTCTCTGTAATCATCTTCTTGAGTTAGAGCAGCGGGTCCTTTATCTCCGCTCCCAGGAGTCCCAGTCCCTTCATCAGGCGTTTGGTGCGGCTATTTCGTCTCCCAGGCAGTCGCCTGGGCAGCAGCCGACTTAGCAGAATTCAGGATCCACTTACCCGGTCGGGCAGCAGGCTTACCCGATCGGGCACCCTCGGCAGAACGACGCCCCACAGCGCGGGCGAGGACGTGGGCGCGGCAGAGGCCGCGGAGGCAGGGGGCGTGGCAGAGGACAGTAGCAGCAGGCATATTGGTTCCCCCAGGGGCAGCCAGTTTATTACCCCGGAGGGGGTGGGCAGCCGAGTACACCTGCAGGGGGTGTGACATCTACGGGTACTGTTATTTGTAATTCTGCTGTGTCACGTTTAAATATTAATGCTTTACCTATCTATGTTACTAACCGTAGTCATACAGGCTTGCCATCAGACGGGGGTATTCTTGGATCTGTTCCCCATCCTGTTGTCTGTCAAATTTGTTTTTCTGCAGGTCATTCTGCCATTAACTGTCCTTCTCGTTTCACACAACCGACGTCTCCTGCTCTGTTGACTACTCCCGGTGACACTACTCCTGCTCTATGGTTTCCTGATTCAGGAGCTTCTGCTCATATGACTGCATCTGAAGGTATTTTAGTTAATAAATCTCCCTACACCAGCTATAATTCTATTAGTGTTGCCAATGGTGCACATCTTCCCATATGTAATGCTGGTGATGTTGCTTTACCTACATCTGGTCGTCCTCTCACTTTAAAATCTGTTTATCATGTGTCTCACTTAAAATATAATTTAATTTCCATTAAAAGGCTCTGTGCTGATAATAATTGTACTGTAATTTTTGATAAAAATTCTTTTTTGATTAAGGACAAAGCAACGGGGGCAATACTTCTGCGAGCTACTAGTAGTGGGCCACTTTATCCTCTCCATCTGTCGTCATCATCAACATTAGTTTTTGCTTCTGTTTTAGCTTCTGGCCCTGTGTGGCACCGTAGATTAGGTCACTGTGGTGATAGTACTTTACAGTTTCTTAAGAGAAAACAATTTTTATGTAGTCATACTCCCTTTACTCATGAGTGTGTGGCTTGTCGTTTAGGAAAATCACAACGTTTGCCTTTTATGGATGCTAGTCATAATTCTGTTTTTCCTTTGGAAATTATTCATTCTGATGTGTGGCAGTCACCTGTGTATTCAAATTTGGGATTCAAGTATTATGTATGTTTCAATGATGATTTTTCTCGTTATACTTGGATATATCCCATGTGTCACAAAAATGAAGTTTTCATGCACTTTAAAAATTTTAAAGCTTTGGTTGAAAATCTTTTTAATCAGAAAATTAAAATTTTTCAAAGTGATGGGGGGGTGAATTTGTTAATAATAATATGCAGCAATTTTTTTCTGCTAATGTCATTTATTTTAGAAAATCTTGTCCCGACACATCTCAACAGAATGGGGTTGCTGAGCGCAAGCATCGTCATTTACTTGAGTTAACTAGGCCCATGCTTCTTGAAGCTTCAGTTCCGAGTCACTATTGGGTCGATGCCATATTCACTTCTGCATATATTATTAATAGATTACCCTCTCCTACCTTAAATGGTCTTACTCCGTACCCAAAACTTTTTAACCGTGTTCCAGATTACTCCTTTATGCGAGTATTTGGTTCTGCCTGTTATCCAAATTTTAATGCCACCTCATCCAATAAATTATCACCTCGTTCAGTTCAGTGCGTTTTCCTTGGCTATGCATCTGGTTATAAAGGCTATCGTTGTTTGGATCCTTTCACAGGTCGAGTCTATGTTAGCCGTCATGTTAGGTTTCATGAGGACACATATCCTTTTAAAACTCTCTCGTCTACTCCATCCAATTCCATTTCTACTACACCATCTCCTATGCATCTCACCGATATCACTCTTGACCCACCTGTCCAGTCTGTTCCCACACTTTCTCATTATTCTCACACAAAGCAGAAGAGAATACCCCTAATTAAAACAAAGATACATCATGAAATAGTCCAGGTCAAACTATGTATATTTTGGAATGTCTATAATGTGTTTGTTACATTGTGCTAATGAGAATTTTTTTCAATTGTAGTAGTAATCTCTAATAACCTTTCTAAAGTTCAAAGAGGCACCCCTTGGGATATAGTTCTATTGATTGGAATGACTTAATTTCTAATTCTGATCCTCTTGATGTTGGGTGTGGAAGACTACAGTTCCTAATAAAGGAGCATGTGTTGGTCAGTTGGTGTGAGTCATTGGATTAAGAATAGTGAAAATAGAATATTATTATACGCTTTCAAAACTGAATTCTAAACTCTATCTCTTGTTTTAGGATGCTCTCTTGATCTCATTTTCCCTTACTGTTTGATATTGATGTTCTGTTTCTAGCTTGTTTTCTTAATAACTAATTGATGTTTTTCAAGTTACCAGTTAAACCTATGCACCAACGAATAATTATATAGTACCACCTCGTCTCGATATGATTGTCTCATTTTACCATATCGATCTGTCCCACTAATATTGTCTCATACCAAATTTGGTAAAGTTTGTGTGGTTCTAAATCATTCTTACTTTATTCTTACTTTATCAATTCAATATCAACGACATAAACCATTTTTTATTAATTTGCGCGTCACTCCCTCTTGTCACATTGTTAGCGGGACGGAGGAAGTGATAGCTATTATTTTACTTTTTCCAGGTCTTCTCTTTTTGTAAGGAACAACTATTGGAAAATGCTATGAGTTTGTTCTACTTGAATGGGATTGGGTTCCTATAGCTTTAATTAATTTTAATTTGTTATAATTTCTGTCTTTCATAAGTGTTGCATTTATTTATTGTAGGTTGAAATAAAAATGTGGACCAAACAAAGTACAAAAGTGAAGTTGTGTTTGATGAATATTCTGTCATGTCATATGAGAAAGGAGGGCATCCACTAATCGCGGGAAGAGGTCTTACCAAGAAAAACCTTAAGGCGAAAGAGATCTCCTACCTTCGAATGATACTTGTTAGAAAACCGGACCGGCTCAGACCTCAATCACCACCAAGCCCAAAGGCTTGCTCACACTCACCACCAGGGATACAACCAGGGAAGACAGAAGGGCGACAGCCAACTAGCCCTCACACAAAGAACCCAGACCCCAGCCCAGAGAACCCACCGGAGCTACAGATAACCCACCACACTACCAGACTAGAGTGAAGACCCCAATAGGAACCCCAAGGTCTCACCGGAGCAAAGCCGGAGCTAAAGCTCTGAGGAAACCGGCACTCTCTCACTCTAGGTCTAGGGTAACAGAACTGAAGG